AATCAGACATAAAGTTTTCCAGGATCTCTCTGAGCCTCAGGGACATTATATTTGGAGTGGGGAAAATTTCATAGTACTTTGAACTTTCTTGGAAGTATAACAAAGATCTACCCGAGTCCAGCCCAGCATTGCCTTGCCAACAGTCCTCAACCCCTCCAAACTACTTTACCACCCCTTTGCCAAAAGGCTTTTCAATGCATGGTCAGGCTTAGATACTAATGTTTAAGAGAAACTATTCCGGCATTAGAGAATAATCAACCCAACTTTGTTCAAATTGGCCCCAATACAATATGCAGTCTGAAATAGCAACGTGACACATGAAAACACACACATCTGTCCCCCTTCCATACGTCTTCAGCTCTGAAATTCGATCTCAGCAAATCTTGTGCATGTTCACACTTTGATCCAGGGCTCCATCTGAGCCAGAATGAAATATGTCACATTTCATTCATAAGAGACATGATTAAAACAGACAATCCGTTATGTTGGGAAATCACACATTTCCCTAGGCCTAAAAACAGAGTTTTATTTTGAGAGATGGTATATACAAATGGACAACAACCAGACCAAATGTAATAATAAAACTCCGACCCACCACCTTGCAGCAATCAGGACAAAGAGCCAGACCATGGCCTCGCGGTCATCAGCCCAGAAAGGTCTGAACTTGGTGCAGGACTGCCAGCGTCCCTTTTTATCGCCTCTGCTTCCAACTCAGGGCCAAGCAGGAAAAGCAATCATGTAAGATGCTCACTTCTTGTTAACCTGCCTCTGGCCTCCCCATGCCAGCAACCTCTGACCCAAGCAGACCTGAGCCTTCCCTGCTGTCCTATAAGCTCCCCAACTCCTGCTTGCCCTTGAGTCTCCGCCAAACGCAAGTGATGGTGACGGACTCCCTGGGCGTAGCAAGCTCTGTCTAAATAGCCTTTGCTCTCGTTCGGGTGATCCACAATTTCAGTGCATTTTTCTGTGGCCATGAAATAAAGCGTAATAAGGAGCAGTCCCTTCTAGGAAAGCATGAAGGTAAGAAACTAGATGTTGACCCAGAAAGGTTCAATAGGTAGAGACTGGTCCCTATCTAGACATGCAGAACAGCCCAGAAGAGTAGTTTCAAATGAGAGCTCCTGATTCATGAATGCAGACCCGGGCCCCAAAACCAGTGCCTCCCCGCTGCACAACTTCAGCAAGCAACCCCTAACCTTTCCAAGTCTGTTTCCGCATCCACAGAATGGACATGAATAATACTTTGTATGGTGCCCGTGATAATACTCTAAGAAAGTGCATATAAATAAAGGGTTAACACAGAGCCTGGCACACGGACACATAAAAACGTAAAGCGTGAGGGGCTCCTGGGTGACTTGGCCCTTTAAGGACCGGACTCTTGATTTCCACTCAGGTCGTGATCTCAGGGTTGTGAGACTGAGCCCCGCGCTGAGCATGGTGCCTACTTAAGATTCTCTCTCTCCCTCTGCCCCTCCCCCACCCCTGCTGCTGCCCACTCTCTCTAAAACAACAAAATTAAATAAACAAATAAATTCTTTTTTAAAAAGTAAAGTATGCATTAATAGTATCAATTCATATATCACAGCACCATAATAGCATCAACCATAGTGAATAACCGCATCAGTTCGCACCTACTGAACACCCAGTGTCCCAGGCGCTCTTCGGCTCTAGTCTCATTGGCTGGGATGTACCTGCTGGTCACGCGGACTCACCCGACACACACAGTGAATGAGGTGGTGACATCCGCCTGCAGAGATTAGAATCCAGCCCCTTTTAGCATTGCATCTCCCTTTTTTCCAACAGTACTTGAGGAGACTCACAATGCAAGTGCCCGCAGGAGCCGGAGAGATGACCCAAGGGGGAGAAGAGGGCAGGTGTGAGACCCCGGGGAGGCCGGGGGGCGGTGGGGAACCAGGCAGGGCACGACGCACGCCTCACTGCAGCCAACCGAGGCCGGGGTGCCAGAGCCTCAAGACCACCGAGAAAACTAAGTGAAATCCCCCACCGATAGAGCTTGGCCACGCTCTTACACCGGGGAATGCCAAATGCGCCACCATGCATGCGCGCGCGCACCCACGCGCGCACGCGGCCTCGATTTCACTATGGCCGACAGTTTGCAAACTCTAGGCTAGGTGCTTTTTCTCCGGTGCAGCACCAAGGCTCCACAAGTGCAGTTTAAACAAAGGTGTGGGACGTTCCTTGGGTTGACCCGCCTCCTCTTCATTCCTCTCCATCTCCCGCCCCGCAGCATCAAAGCCCAAGGGAGAGGGAAAGTCCCAGAGGGCTCTCCAGAGGAGGACGCCCTGACAGCGCTGAAACCAAAAGGCCCCGTGGCTACTCTTCCCCGGGGTTGACAGTTCGTGCTTGACCTCCCCAGGCGGAGTCCGAGTGAGAGCCCGTTTCAGCTCTCACATCAGCTTCTGCGGGGGAGAAAGAAGCTTGGGGGTTTCTGCCCCTCACCACGGTGACACTCGGGGCCCTCTCCAGTCTCCATGTGGGGTCCTCTTCCAGCCCCACTAGCCTCCCCCTCCCTAAATTAGCCCCCAGCTCTGGCATGGCTGTTGGGCACACACAGCCTGGGTGCAGCAGCTGCCCCCGCCCCTGTCTTCCAGCCAGGAAGGGGGCTGCGAGGGAATGAAGGGCACCTAGAGCCTTTCCAGAGCCCGACCGCCGGGGTGCACACCCACCACTCCCTAGCTGTGTGACCCTGGGCAAGCTACTTAACCTCTCTGTGCTCCGAAAAATAGGGATATTAGTAGTACTCACCTCCTTGGGTTGTTCATTGTTAGAACCCAGTGAGTTAATGCATGTGAACAACTCAGAATGTGGCCTGGACGATTCTCGGTCCTCAATGAAAGTTAGTTAGTACCATTTATGCCATTTCCCTGGCCTGAAATGCCTTTTCCAACCAGGCTCCAACGCTTCCCTGACCACCAGACCATCCGTTCTCCCTTTCCTCAAACTTCTCACCCAACAATGTTCTCGCTACACCAAGGATGGCAAAGAAGTTAAGTGTCAACCACTCCACCTCACATGGACATGTAGGGGCTGCCAGGAGTCCTGGACTCAATGCTAAAACTGATTAACAATGTCTGGCGTGGCAGAGGGAGAGCTGAAGCACTGCAGTCAACTAGCAATGTCTGCCATGCAGAGGGAGAGCTGAAGCACCAGAGTCGACTAACAATGTCTGCCATGCAGAGG